TTATCTAAAAAACAAGGATGGTGACATATGTTTTTTTATACATGTATGGATTTGGTATACAATCCTGGATATTATGTTAGTTTTTAGTCTTTTTCTGTATATGAGAAAATAGCCATCCATAGAAAAATCTAGAAAAGGAAGTCGAAAAAAAGGTATTTTCCCTCTATATCTATGTAAATTTGGCGCCAAAATTGACATTTTCTTATCAAAATTACAAATAAACAAGAATGGTGACCCCCATTTTTTATTTCATATTCCGATGTAACTCGAATCAAAGTACAAGGATGCCAACAATTTTAGAAATCGGGAGATATGCCATTCGGTATCGTGTTACCTTAACATTAAGGTAATAGATACTTACAATCATAGACCAGAGATCCCAACCACCTATCATTCATGCAGACACTTGTCTTAACATTAAGGTAATAGATACTTACAATCATAGACCAGAGATCCCAACCACCTATCATTCATGCAGACACTTGTCTTAACATTAAGGTAATAGATACTTACAATCATAGACCAGAGATCCCAACCACCTATCATTCATGCAGACACTTGTCTTAACATTAAGGTAATAGATACTTACAATCATAGACCAGAGATCCCAACCACCTATCATTCATGCAGACACTTGTCTTAACATCAAGGTATAAAGGTATATTTTTTTCCAGACACAAGTGGCTGTGCCCCTTCGTCCCCCTTTTATGCTATTTATTTTCGTAAAAGTAATTTATTGACATTACACTTGCTGTAACATATGTCATTTTTGTTTTCAATTAAATTACCAAATGGGGCAAATCATTTAAAGTACAATGTACTATACATTTTGTACTTCATTTTTTACAAGGACCAAACAAACAGGTTCGAAACAAACCCCCAAATGAGGGGTATATCCCTCAAATGAGGGACTGTCACCAAGACATTAAGACAAGGGGTCATTTTACTGTTGTGAAAAAGAAAAAAAGAAAAATTTAGATTTTTTAACTTAAAAGTGGGAAAATTCATTATATTTGGAACAACTTAAAAGTCTTTTCTAAATGAGGGGTCAAATTATTTTTAATAATAAACATGATAAAGAAGATAAAAATCCACGAACATTACAAAATTCTTGGACATGTTTTGACCATATAATACCAGATAGATGTATAATTCTTTAGGAAAAGTTTTCAAATAATATAGATATATGCTCATTTGTACTTAAATTGGTTTTTAATGTCCTTACATTGAGGGGTTATCCCTCATTTGGGGTGTTGTTCCCAACCTGATAAAAGTCCTTCTTTGTGCATAATTTTAAATTTTAAATGCAACAATCATTTAATATCCTAACACAAGAAAATAAATCATGGTCTTCTAGCTACAGATTCATCTATTATACTGAATCAGTAAACTTAAGAAAATGGCTTGTAATCTCATCATACAAAAATGACACTTTTTCTAGACCATAAAACAGCACGCGCAAAATATGTCGCAAAGAATTGTTGTCGCGCACTAAAACCCCCATGAGGACTTTCAAAAGTTGGCAGGTATGTCAAGGGCACGCATGCGTCATGTAGGGTTAATGTTGTCTATGGGTTGTTTTCTTTGTGTTGTGTCTCTTCCCGGTTCATACGAGTTGCAAAAAAACCCCAACCATTTAAGGTAGAGGGGGGTGTAAATTAAAAACCGTATGTATAATATTCTATTACTTTGCCAAAGTGAAGTTTATTTCATTTTTTTTTCAATTTAATAAAAGTAGTGTAACGGAGCTATTGTTCAAGCTGCATGTTGTGCAAAATTGCAAGATTTTGTATAAATTACACATAGAAAAACACTCTTTTGTGAATAGAAAGTAACCTTAACGATAGAGTTTTAAATTAAAATATGAGAAGAAAGCTCATACATGTATAATTTGCTTTCAGAAGAAAAAAATGGGGTCACCGGACTCGATTTCTTGCTACAAATCAAAATAGGTAAATTTCCGACGCATTCAATAATAAAATTAAAACAGTCTTGAGTTATCTCCCCTTCTATTACAAATTATAAAAAAAATGAATACAAAAATATAATATTCAGTATTGGTAAGACCAGTCGTAATAATTCAATAAATCACATAATTTCTTCATTTAGATACAACAGTTTACAATTGAATTGCATTCCGTTCTCAAATTAAGTTTCCACATTGAATTAAAGATCTAGGCCGATTGTGTTCTGCTATTTTACAATCCAAGATCATGAGCGGAAGTCTCCCGGTGACGGTCTACCTTAATTTTCATCAACAAAAGTTATAATAAAACAGCGAAAAACTCTTGATATCTTCCTTTGTACAGCAAGTGGGACAAGTTTATTCATATGACATGTATTATTATGCAATTTACATGATCCTCTGTCCGAGATGAACCCAACCAGACAGATAATATTTGATACACAATTACACAACTAAAATCGCATAAGAGGTTACATCCAGTCTCGTGGTAGAGAAAGACTAAACATAACTGCAGTGCACAATACACCAAACGTCGATGTTTGACTAGACAAGTTACATGGTTATTAAGAAAAAAATCTATATTAAAATTGTTATATATCTTAATGTGTGATCAAGGTTAAACATAGTAAGAACAATATTACCTGCAGCATATCTGACTCGTGATGTGTGCAGGGCAGCTAGCTACAGACAATACTCCACTTAAAGAAATTCACTGAGATTACTGAAACAAGATAAAAATCGATGGACTATCACAATTTAGTAACCATACCAGTTTATTAGATTTACTCCTAGGTACGAAGTCTTGGGTACAGGACTATTTTTGTTTATTCTTCCCCCTTTTTTTTAAAAATAAATCCGTTATTTCTTTTGTCTTTTAATTTCAATTATTTTTCGCGTTTTTTCTGTGTTATATTAAAATAAATATACTAGAAATAACATCAATTCCTATATGTTTACTATCCACAGCGGTCACTAATAACTATCCACAGCGGTCACCGATAACTATCCACTGCGGTCACTGATAACTATCCACAGCGGTCACCGATAACTATCCACAGCGGTCACGTAAATTAGGAATTCAAAGATGATAGTAAATAAATGTTTATTTCTAGTATATTTATGATGATAAAACAAATTCGCGAAAATAGTTGAAATTAAAAGAATTAAAAAAAAATAACGGATATTTTTTTCAAAGGGAGAGGCCATTAAAAAGTGTTCTCTCCCCCAAGTACCTATGGATTTACCTAGATAAGAAAATTAATTAATGAATTGTTTATTAAATTCAGCATGCAGTTTCTAATATATTACTCTTGTATGTACATGGAATTAAGAATTGTTTTATGTCCCGCCTATGATAGGAGAGGGCATTATGTTTTTCAGTCTGTGCGTCCTTCCGTCCGTTCGTCGGTCTGTCCCATTTCATGTAAAGTTTTTGTTTAAGGTAAGTTTTGATAGAATTTTCATTATGAAGTAGACTGTTTGATTATTGTTTTGGCCAATATTTCATGGTTTACTAAACATAGAATGGTCGTAGAGCGAGCGGGGCATGGTATCCTATGGACACTATTTCACCTAATGTGTACTTGATTCTCGGAATTATTGCTTCTTATCCCTCTGTATATATGTAACCTATGTGCAGACATTCTAGATTTAGTAATATTTCTCCTGTGATCAAATTTGGTGAGATTTATCCAAAATTACGTTTAAATTTGGAATACATTGACATTTTTTCTTCAGAACAATTCCTCATTTAATTATGCAACATATTCTCATAATGCTGGAAAATGATAGATCTGATTGATTTTGGAATGCAAATAATTTGGGTTTCTTTTTGTACAATTTTCATTCAACATGCCAAACTGATTCCTCATAAATTTTATAGAACCATACCTAGAAGGGAGTTTTCTCTGAAATAATGCTTTTGATTCAAAATATGCCTGTTCAATAAATTCGTAATCGAAATCGTCCACTAACAAGGTTTCTTAAACATGGTTTGAAGCTATGTGATTCTTTTTTTTAATCTTGCTGTAAATAATTTTAAATTTTGTAACATCTATACTGTACCGTATAGCAGAATCGTCTTGATTGCATGCTTAAAGCCTGAACATATTTTTTTTATATTGGGGTAAAGTGATAAAAGTCGTTCCGACGTTTATAGAATGCTGTCATAGAATTATGTCGGTTAATTATCAAGATAAGTATCATATCGTGGACAGAAGGTATAATTGCATAATGTTTTAAGTTCGTGGTAAACATACCCGTGTCTCTGAATATTTGATTTTAGGTAATTAAACCATAGGAGGGATCATATTACTTCAGATATCACGTATCTATATGTATACTATTAAAGAAATGTCAAATAGAAAGAAACGGTCATTTTGAAACGGGTTTACCGTAAAGTCCTTTGGAAATTCACCTTTTTACATTAATGTAAAGTCCAACGTGTAAGCCTCAATTCTAAGTTTAAAAAGAAATTGAATATTAAAATAAACCAAATCAATCAAGATTGCCTTTACGTGCCAATATGAGTTCCATTAGAACTGGTTTTGTAACAAGGCAAGGCCACTGGTAGACTTCTTTTTAGACAGCCCTTTTCAAGTCAGTTAAAGGTTTTGATTGTCAAAAAGCACGATGATGGAACTTGTGAATGACTCTTATACAACAAATAATTTAAGACTTTGTCCAGTTTCCCATGCAGTAAGAGAGAACACATGATCTCCAATTTCTGATATATCTGAAAAAAATACATTGATAAAGGGTTCTGTTTTCGTTATATTGGTAAAATTCAGCAATGATATATTAATTTTGTATGATTTCAGTATTCCTATATAGATTGTGTAGTCGTCACAAACAAAACTACCAATCGAAATATCTTTTTAGTAAGATCAGTGGCGGCTATTTCCAAATTATTTGATGGAAGCAAAAACTCGGACAAGTAAATCCGTAAAATGAAACTGTCCATAAACTTCCTTCTAGACAGTTTTGTCAACCACACTTTATTTGTTTTAACCGTTCGTATAGAAATTGCGTAATTATTTTGTAAACGAGACACAATAAAAATGTACAAGTCAATGACTTAATTACTAGACATAGTACGGTATATAGATGTATAACTAACAATCAAAGGCTGAAAGGGGAATTATGACCAGCTACAAAGTTGACGGGATGGGAGGTGGAAGCTTTAGTACTATTTCTAAAAATAGAATCAAGTTAGCAGTGGGAATAGTCGCCGTCATTATTTTGGCATTGGTAATAACTATTATTGTTCTGGCGGCTAGTGATTCAAATTCAGACTCCGTGAGTCCTGATCGAGGATCATCTGCCGGGTTACATACACCTGACTGTGTTACACATCCCGGATCGGCCACGCCCAATTTGGAAATAGCAAACTGTGTTCTTGATAGTTATCCTTTGATAGATGGGTAAGTTCTTGCTTTAATACAATTATATCAGCTGTTTTTTTTTAATTTTATGGCATGTTTTGATGACATCTTCGCCAGCCAAGGGATACTTACGATCCGCCAGAGAAGAGGGAACCGGCTCGCAATCCTTGGCTAGCGAAGATGGTTTTAATTAATGATTAATATTACAATTAAAAATTGAGAATCATTTGATTTTTACCAGAAAAAGGGAAGGAAACAACGCATCGAAAGAATGAAACAATGAACGTCGCAAAAAGACCAAATAGTATCATGAGAATTCACAGTATCTGAGGAAAAAAAATCTGTGATATTTGTTTCTTTTCAAATCCAATGCTTGTAGGTCAGGCGGGGATCTTTCAAGGCATTATTTGTTTACTTAGTTCGAGTATTAAAAGACTCAGCTGTTGTTTTTGTTGTTGTTGTTGTTGGTCAATTTATGATGAGCACACGCCCATCGTGAAATTCATAAATCTGGCTATGCATTGAAAGCAATAGCTATCGCTTTCAATCTGTATATACGTACCGAGAGTAAACATCAAATTTCAAATGTGATTGGAAATTCAAGCACGGATAATTTTAAAAAGTTCAAATTGGATCTTCGGAAAAATGTAAAAAAAAAAGGCATTTATCCATTTTTGTCAGATTTTATCAACCAAACGTACATAGATTGAAATTTAATATTGCTGAGACGTATCCTGGATCATGTTGTAAACATAAATGTTCACTACTTGTTTTATGGCGTAGGTGTAAATTTATTTGTTAGTGTGAATACCACGTTGTTCACATCTCAATGAATAATGACAGTGATGTCGTATGTATGATAAAAAGATGAATTCAAATTGTACGCATATATATACATAATGAATGATATTCATGTCACAGTTGCGGTAAATGAGGTCATGGAAAAAAGGGGGAGGGGACCTTTTATTAAAGATAAAGATAGTTATCAGTATAAATCCAAACAATAGGATTGTTATTGAATAACACATGTAATGTAAATATACAATAAACAATACAAATGAGAAACTTTGACAAAAAAAAATTAAAATAAATTAAATCTAGTTTCATTACAAGATGTTGATCTCGCTACAACTGTGGATTACAAGTTTTTTAGGTCATGGGATAATATCAACAAATTATATCGAGCAAAGACTTCTTACAAACATTGTCATAAATTGTCGGGCAATCGCACTGTAGCATACAAAAAAAAAATACTCATAGGTATAGGTTTCATTACAAGTGATAATTGGATATCGCTTGATATCAACTTGAGTTCTTTGATTTCAATATAATAACAATAAACGAGCCTTCGGTGATTTATTTTTATTATTGAAATCAAACAACGAGTGTTGATATCAATCGATATCCAATTCTCACTTGTAGTTTATTAAGGTTTCGTAGCGAGTGATAATTGGATATCGCTAATCGGATGGCTGCATAACAATATCAATATTCAAACTGGCCAAAAGCGAAAAAAGGATACAACCCACATAAGAGAATCTATCTCAAGAATAAATACGCAATAACTGCATGTAAAAATAAAAGAACAAGAGTTGACAATGTTAATTTTGAAAATAATAGAAATCACAAGCCTTCGGTATCAAAGTGAAACATTTTTTTGCCGATTTTGCAGTGTTTGCATCAGCTAAAACTAAGGAATTAATCATAAATAGCAACTTGAAGTTGAGACATTATGTACGTTTGACTTCTTAAAAAGTTTTTTCTCAAAATATGAAAAGTTTTGCATAGCACCTTTTTCTTCCGTATTAGTTATATTTATTGATCAAGCAAATCTGTATATGTCATTTAATTTGCACGGCTCGGATGACCTACCTGACCCGAACGACGTAGGAGATCAGGTTAAAGGGTCACCCCGACCAAGCAGATTAAATGACATATACCGATTTGATTGGCCAATAACTGTTTTAACACATGACGCCATCAATGCACATGAACGTTTTGGAAATATACGGACGAAAATCAATCCACGGCTTCTGTGAAAGTTCTATTGTAGCGTAAAGAAAGGGGGGAAATACGCCTGTAAGTAGTAAAAGGTTGGTAACTTTTAGATTTTTTAATTTTTTAACACTTAGGCTCTCTTCTAAATTCAGTTACATTATTTGGAGAATTGCATTTTAATGGCAGATCTTTGATTGTTTCTGTTAAATTTATTCACTATTTTTCCCTCAAGAATATGCTCAGAGGAAGATGTTCCTAAATATATAATGCAAAGAAAACAGAAAAAAAGTTTCGATTTCCAATATTTAACCGCCCCCCTCTCCTAAATTTTCAATTGTGTTAGGCGAATAGTTTTATTTTTTGGCAGAATTTTTTTTTTTTTTATCTAGTTTGACTTCGAAACACTGATTTAAGATTTACATTGTACACTTTTATCATAAAATGTTCACAGTTTTATGAATGAGAAACACTTTTTTTTATTGTTTTTTTTGTTAATTTGTTCTCGTCCTGACATGTATGGAATATTTGCCACTGGACGTTAAGCAGCAAACAATCTATCAATCTTTTTCATATTTTGAAACGACGAAGTTTGTACGAAGTTGTTGATTGATCAACTCTCTAATAATTGCAAGGACTCAGTGGCGGATTCAGGGGGGGGGGGGGGATGGGGGAGGGTTGGAAGGTTTACGCTTTGATTATATAATACATAATTTTTTTTTGCACCAAATCCTCAACTTTTTGTAATGGAATTACGCCTCCCTTTGAAAAGTCCTGGATCCACCCCTAAAGGTAAGAGTACATTTGAACTGTGCTGTATATCTGGGGTAGTCAATGCACACCTTTATAGATGTGCATTATTCAGATTAAAGCACAGTAAGAAAAACGAGATTTTGCCTATGTCATGTTTTAATTTTCATTCATGCATTTTCTAATGAATATTTAATAAATATCAATTCATAATACAATGCTACTAAATTATTCCCAAATTTGTTTCTACTGTTAATATCTGTCCTGATTGTGTTCAACAATTGCATATTACAACACGCATGTAATATCTGTCGCTTGTGCTTATGCTTATCCTAGGCAGACAATAATGAATTAGTACATGAATCGAAAGAATGGCAATGTCACATATATATATATATATATATATATATATTGAATCCTATAATTTTACAAATGATTATTTTGGTATGCATTTTCTGTTTGAGTAAAATTTTAAGAATTTAAACAACCATGCAAACTATAAAATGTCAAAGATTTGTCCAAAATTTCTTGAATTGAGACTAAATTTATTTAATTTAAGATCACTTGTAACAACTAATACAAATCTTTATGCGGTGAATTTTTTCAGCAGAAAGAAAAAAGATGGGCTCATTTCCAATTCGATTACTGTTTTAACCAGTTTGAGAGCCCAACTATATATGCGATGACTGAGTTATTTTGAAAATCATATACTATGTGGTTATGAAATAAGACATTGCAATTTTAATTTCAAAATGTGAATGCGGCCTCGGCAATTTATGTTTTACTAAGTAAACATAAACTACCTTTTATTGTAGCATTGACAATTCATGTGTAATACAGGTCGTTTCATTTATATCCCATTTTCCAAAATATTTGATTTAATCAGATAAATTTGAATTTATCACTAATATCACTTCAGCACTAACTTTGTGTTTTGGTCCCTTTCTTTTCAAGCATTAATGTTAGTGAAGATTTTTATATATGTAAACATTCTTTTGGTTAATAAAACCTCATGAATGATACTTAACGCACAATTTATTCAACTTAAAATGTATAGTATGCACATACATGCATGTAATATTACGATTTTTAAGGGTTATTGTATTTGAATATGATTTAATCTCGTTTCAAGTATCTAAATTTATCCAACTCTTTTGAGAAAGCTTCTTGTTTATCTCTTCTTCACGTTGGTTTTTCATTTGACTTAATGTCTTTTTCATAAAATAGTTATGGTTATTAAATACAACTACCCCTAATTTCACAGAATAAAGACTGTTGTGCTACTATAAATGGAAAAAAATACTTGTACAAGTAAAAAAGGTTACCCAAACTTGCCTTTAGCCGTGAGCTAGTTTAAGTAGGAAGTAGGACACTACATGGGAAAAGGACAAACTAATTTACAGTATAAGCAGGTCTTTGCATGCAGTTATTAAAATGTAATCCAACCTCATTTAGTTAGAACTTTAACAGTAAGTAAGTTAAATTAACAGAAAACTAAAAACTTGTGCATCTATGGACGGTCTCCCATTATTCGTCCTTATCAACGTTTTGCCTACACGAATGTGTAAAATGGTTTAGTTTCCTTAAGAATGCAAGTATCCTTAAGAGGATCAGTCTATTGTTTTTAAAAGAAAAAGATGTATTTGTCAGTTTATACAAGTCGGTAGACGTAAAGATATGTGATGTATTATTGGAGTCCAAATCCTCAAAATATCCATTTATAAGTAAATAGAAAGATCAGAACAATATTAGACATTAATCATAGAAGTCCAAAGAAGTCCTAAGATATTTCAAGTTGCTTGGCAGATTACTTCATAAGTTTACGCCTGGTAAAATGATATATATCATACAGTTACAAATTTAAAACTGTTTTCAGATAGCATAGTTCTTTTTATCGGTGCTTTGCTTTTGCGCCAATTGGCATTTCATTTGCGCCAAAAAAATATTTCATTTGCGCCACAAACAATATTTCATTTGCGCCAAAAATAAAACATTTCATTTGCGCCTATACTACAGGTAAATACAGGTAAATAGTATAAAAAATAGATGTATTTAAAAGAGCCTTTTAATAATTACTTTAAATCACAGTTTTTGTTTGCATAACAACACATATTCATCAGAAATCAGGCATCATAAAACCATAATAAAAGCACTATTACACTAATAAGAGACTTTTCATAATAATATCAAAACACAGTTCCGAGTGTTATAAATCAACGTAATCATAAAAACTAAAAGCAAACACTATACACTGGAGTGTTTGTGTCCTAAAAAATATTCTAAATTTATAAAAATGTATTCGTACATTTGCACTGAGATAGATAATATAAGTATCATTCTATTTAAAAATAAAGCCTGAGATGTGGTATGATTGCCAGTAAGACAACTATCCACCAAAGTTAAAATGAAGTGGATGTAAGCAATTATATGTGTGAATTGGAAAATAAATTTTGACTTGCATATTGTAAAAGTAATATAATAATTGTGTAGTATTTTGCAACGCAAAGAGAATCGTAGTGGTTCTGTGCGTATAACCTTTGATGGACTTTCACTAATATCACCAGATGCTTTTCGAACTCTGATTCTGAGTTGTTGTGATTCACGATATAGCAATGAATATTTAAACTTTTCCGGTATATTTTACCTGTAAAATGGCGCAAATGTAGTTTTAATTTTTGGCGCAAATGAAATATAACCTTGTGGCGCAAATGAAAAATTGGATTTTGTAAAAATTGGCGCAAATGCAATGCGCCCCTTTTAATTTCCTCTAAATTTAATTGAATGATACTTAATTGTCATTTTGAAGTATTTGTGAAAGAGGTTAAAAAACAATTTATTTTGGTTTCCTTTTTATGCTGGAAAGTACATAAATGCTAAAGAAGTTTTACGTGTTTGTTTGAAGTGGAAATTACATTTTCCTGCATAAATTTCAATGTGTTTAAAATTCAAAATGCTCGGTTCTGTAGAATTACTATATGTATATATATATTTCTATGTATCTTAAATAACTAGAGGTCTACTCCGGTCCTGAGGTTACTTTAACACATACAGTATAGCAATCTCAGTCCGGACATACTGCAATTGGAATATACATTATTTGATTTTGACATTGTTTACATAAAAAGGATTGTAAATTGATTTTCATATTACATGTATATTTTATATTTTAAATAGATATAGTAGTTTTAATACCACCATAATAACATATGACATATGGTCAATTTCGTCATCCACCATTAAATGTTATGTAGACACTGGTTTTCATTTTAACTAGAACAGATTCATATACAAAGCTGCCACTGAACAAAAGTGTCTGTTTCATAATGATGTTTATGTTTTGTCAGACACAACGATTTGGCCTGGCAGTTTTATAAAAATGAAAACAACTCGGTTTACAACATCGACCTGAAGCACAATTTACTGGAAGTATGGAAAGGAAAAGTCACACACACAGACATTCCAAGAATAAGAAAAGGAAAACTCTCTGCACAGGTTGGATTGTTTTACTTGCCCAAATAGCTGTTGTCTCAGAGTTTCAACAATACCGATAACCCTTGCATGTTCAATAATCCAAACTATATTTTTATATAGTCGCATTAAATTAGAGTTCAAGATAAACCTCGGTAAAAGTCTATTATAATTTTGTTATACGTTTATCTAATACCAATTTATGAAAAAAGTTATTTAATGTATTCATCTATGTTGAAGTTTTACCAAATAAAATGAAATATATAAGTTAGAAATTTTCATTCTGCTTTAATAAATATCAATCATGAACGTACGACAGACTTTATGAGAACATACCAAACCACAAACAAATATACTGGTATCACGATTTAAATTCGAATTTTAGAAATAGTTTAGAATAAAAATATTAATGTAATTTGTTGAAGAACACAAACAATAACTCATCCTTGATTAAGTTTTAACATGTTCATTGCAAAAACTTATCCATAAGAATCGTGACTGGGCATTTATTCATCAAAATGTAAATCTGAAAAGAACCGTTCCGAATTAATAAAAATGTTTGGAGGGAGGGGGAGATAACTTATTCCTCAGATTCGATATCACGTGTTCAATCCTTGGTGATTATTTTAATCCGTGATCAAGAGTTTTTAAATTCAAATTATACATTTTGGAGGTCATATAAATGAGTTTCCGTAGATAGATATTCTCGAATTTACATTGAATATGTTATCTTGTTTAAATATCTAGAAGTTATAACATATGTTTCTTTTATATAAAACAGCAATTTTTACTTTTATTTTTATATATATAAAACATTTTTAGATTAAGATTATGCTGATGAATTTCAGTTTTGGGCATGCTACGTGGACTGTTCGTCTCAGTATAAAGATGCTGTAAGCAAGTCACTGGCGCAGTTAGATACCATTAAGAAGTTTGTCAATAGATACCCAGACACATTTACATTCGTAACCTCTGCTCAAGGTAAACCCAATTTATTTATGAATAACAAAACACTTACAATATGTATGGACAGTTTGATGTAAAGTATTTTTTTTAGATACCATGTACTATTTGTATGTTCCCTTAAACTGATGTAATCAGTAAATTATTCAAAAGATTCAAAGTCGAAAGACCATGACTGAGGGGCCGGGATCAAATAACTTCCAAGGATACGAGATGTGCAAATGCTAATAAAACTGCATACCAAATATTTGTTACTTATCATAATAGAGACCATAACAGAGGTTAGGGGACCAAATAATCGGCATGACTGAAATGAGATGTGTCAATGTTAGTACAAATACATGCCCAATATCAATGGCCTACCCACAGTGGTTCCCCTTAAACAGATCTAATCACAAACTAATACATTCTTGAAGCCGTCACCGGAAACAGCACGCCTAAGTTTCGCCTTCGTCGAGACGAGAACAAAATTTACAGAAAAGGACTTACCTCTATAAAATTCGTATAACAAAAACACAAATAGAAGAAAACATTTATAAATGATGAACATGACACATTAATAAATTTCATGCATCCGAAGCGCTTTTCTAGATTTAACTTCATCAGGAACGTTCAAAGCTAAAACATTGAAAGCCAAGGATATATGTATTTCGATACAAATGAAGAGTTTTGTGACCCAAAGTATACTAAATTATACCGGCCATTTCAAAGAATAGACGCTTGGATGTTAAACTGTTGTTCTTTTGGCTTTCCATCATCATTGTATATCAATTCTTTTATTCTGTTTTTTTTATTTTGTTTTTAAGTTTAGAATTGTTATATGTTGTTGTATTTTTTTATAGCAGGAGTTCCATAAAAACTTAATGAACTTTCTGGAACTGGTTCTTGGTAAAGTAATTAAAAAAATCCGTATATTTAGTAAACTAACTGACAGGGGTTTTTAGTATGGTAATCAGGTAATCCGTATAAACTTGGTGGAATTGCTTTCAATTATCATTGATATGGTCATGACTGTTCATGAATTAACGGTTTACAAAACTTTGAATTGTTCGAAATATTAAAGATTTTCCACCCTGGTAAAATATTACCTCAGTTGTAATAGACGCTCGTCTGTCGTATAAAATATTACCTCAGTTGTAATAGACGCTCGTCTGTCGTATAAAATATTACCTCAGTTGTAATAGACGCTCGTCTGTCGTATAAAAACTGGTATCTTTGATGATTTTTTTGATTTTTTTTTACATGACTTTATAATGTAAATAAGAAATTAAGTATAAACTTAGTTACATTATATTCAGGTATACTTGATGCCTTCAGCAAGGGAAAGGTATCCAGTTTGGTTGGGCTAGAGGGAGGTCACTCAATTGACAGTAGCCTTAGTAACCTTCGCATGTTTTATGATCTTGGTGTCCGCTACATGACAGTTACTCATAGCTGTAATACGCCATGGTAAGTTTGTAAAACATTAAGCATTTAATGGACTTCTTTTATTCTGATATCCTTTCGCCGTATTTTGAAATGTATAGTACTGGTTGTTTTTTTCATGATAAATGATCTGTGCTTAATGACAACTGTTTTGAATTAATTTTCAAATGTTGTTGTACTTTGTCATTATAGGTCTTATTGCATTAAAATTTCATTATGCCTACATCATCGAGTCTAGCTTCTACATTCGAGGGAATGTTTTACATTTATCACAAGAAGTTATGAATGTAGATAAAAGATTAAATGTCCAATTTCATGCAGTTTGTACAAGGTTTGAACATAACAGGTTTGTCATATCAGTACGCGATTACAATCCCGGGACTCCAGAAAGACTGAGACGGAATTGAGGAGTATGGACCGGACCGATACGAAAAAGATCGTATCCCATACTCAAAAAAAATTTAAAAAAAAAAATGGATCAACTCTAACATACGGAGGGATAGGATGCATAAATTCATAGAGCTAGTGTCTCAGTTGTTCTTTAATCCAGCATTTTCTACATAAGGAAATGTCTGTTCCAAGTCAGGAATATGACAGTTGTTTTCATTCGTTTGATATGTTTGAGCTTTTGATGTTGCCATTTCAATAAAGGACTTTCCGTTTTGAATTTTCCTTGGAGTTCGGTATTTTTGTTATTTTACTTTTTTCACATATTCCAGTCGCTTTGGCATTTCGAAGTTTTTAATAATGGTTCTCTAAAATGTGACATTGCTAACTTTTCAACGGAAAAGAAAGATTTACTAGTTAGTATACCGTCTATCTACTGAAGCTAGGTCATAAGTAAAAGATATAACATTTGCTTCAGGGCTGACAACTGGAAAGTGGATGAAGATGGTAATCCTGAATTTAATGGTTTGACAGAGTTTGGAAAGGTATCACACACACACACACACACACACACACACACACACACACACACACATTTTGTATCAATTGAAATTACTTATCAGGTCAGAATGGGATACATTCCTTTAAAAGCTCTAGTAAGTCATTCCATAAGGTAATCACAGAAGAATAGCATTGTTCCAATATTTAACTGGTATGCAGCACAACAATGGATATCGGACACATTCTTGTGATAAACAAGTTTTACTGTGGATGAAAGAAAAGTAGCAAAGTGATGCAAAAAAAAATTAAACTTGCAACACTGAAGTAAAGAAATAGTACTTGATAATAATCCATCTTAGTATAGTTTAGTATAGTTTTATTCAGGCAAATTCAAGCACATATACAAAAATTCATCAAGACAATAATATATATATATCCCATAAAAGCTTACATAGTATAGCTTATTTCCAATGGGGTCCCTTGTTTGAAAATATATAAAAATAATATTTCAATTTATTGTTAAAATTTGACTTTCACCAGAAAAAAAATACGAAAAATAGATCAAATGTTTCTTAAAAAGAACATGTAAAAAATCTCCAGTTTCTATATTTCTTGCTGTTGTTTTTAATTGTTCTTTCACTGCAGCCTTAAAAGCAGATCTATTTGATATATTTTTTATATTGGATGGTAGATTGTTCCAGTCTTGTATAGCATTATAGACAAAAGTGTTTTTATTACAGTTTTTAATATTTGGTACAAAATAATTATTATGTGCAGCACTTCTGGTATTATGAGTATTTAAATCAAATTTTCACACAAATACTCTGGAGCATGTAAATGATATATATTGAATACATGGTTTAATCTAAGTTGACTAACTCTATCTTTTACACATAGCATATTGACTTTGTCTAAAATATCACATGTAATTCTGCTCCTTGGACGCAAGGATGAATCTCACCACCTTATTCTGTACAACTTGCAATTTTGTTGTCATCCCTTTGCCCAGACTACTATATAACGAAGAGCAAGAATAATCGAAATAGCATTGTATCAGAGCTGATGTGAGTGTCATCCTTGATCAAGTATCCAAACATTTTGCATTTCTATGTAAAAATCTTAATCTTGCATTAACTTTTTTTATGATATTGGAAACTATTTGTTCACAATTTAAAAAAATTATCAGTGTGAACTCCTAAATATTTGACACAATTTGTCGATTTGATAAGGTGATCATTACATTTGACCTGAAAATTTATATTTTGCCTAATCTTTTTTCAACGGGAGGCCCAAAAAACATACATTCAGTTTTTCCTAGATGTAATGACAGTTTATTATCTACCAACCAGTCTGAACATTTTTCTAGAACTTTTCCCAATTTTGTAGAAATAATATCTGGATTTTTATGAGTATATAAAATAGCGCTATCATCAGCATATAAAATTAATTTACAGTCTTCATCAATACTGATTGACATATCATTAATATATTTTAAAAATAACAGCGGTCCAAGGATACTTCCTTGGGGGACACCACATGTGACTTCAATGGGTTCTGACATAACATTATCTAAAGATACAAATTGAATTATATCAGAAAGGTAAGATCTAAACCATTCTACAGATTGAACACCCATAACTTCAAGTTTTGAACATAAAATATTGTGGTCAACAGTGTCGAACACTTTTTGCAGATCTAACACATAATCATTCCTGTATAAGTACCATTTGAATTATTTGTTCTTATATAATCTAATAAATGTATAAGACATGTATCAGTATCTTGTGGTACAAACTGTGACAGTTGTATAGTTTAAGTTATTGCAAATGGTCTGATATTTACCATGTTTACGACACGAAAAGGTTTGTCGTTTATAAGGAAAAAAATGTTTGACATCGAGGCAATACCGTCTGCACTGTGTCCAGCGACCTAGACCACTCGACCAATTAGGCTATAAGATGTATCTTTCGTTAGTCGAGTAATGCTTTCCTCGTTGGCTTTATCCAGGGTTGTAACACAGTACATGATGTATAGTGGTAAGTGTGTGGTGTACCTTTCAAACCAGCTATGTTTTGTCTGTCGTAAAGGATGATAATGTTACTTACCAAGCCGTCACATCAAAATTTTAAATTCACATGTTAAGACGTATTATATATATAACAGAACATTATGTATTGTGACATGCAATACCTTTAAAATCAGATAATTTTTTTTAGTTATAAAAGATGACAAATACTTACCATGCAGTCACACCAATGTGTTTTAATAGTTAAAATATGTGACCACTCTACGACTGCATTATCAATCGGACAACCAAAAGTTATACATGACAGTCATCCTAATATACATATAATTCTTCTGAAATTAAGTAATGGCAGTTCTGATCATTTACAGTAGCGGCAGTGATGCAGTAGCAAATTTGTGTCTTTTAGGGAAAAAAAACTTTGGTTCAAATCTAGGTTCGTTTATATGTTCTTCCTAATTAGTATCGTTCCGCTAACAACTCTTCAATTAAGATTAAAAAGAAGTTCATCAAAGTAACGATATGACAAGCACTGTGCTTAGCATGCAAATTATATTTATTGGTGATAAATACATAAAACCTATTTTAATATGGCAGATTAAAATAATTCAAGAGGAATATGAATGGGGAAAAACCCAAAGAAGTTAGAATAATCCATTGAATCAAACGATTTTAGGTACTTTAAAAACCTAATATAATTCCTGTTTAGGACAGGTTTTGATGTATTTTACTGATAAACCTTATGTTTTCTTTTAGATAATAATTAAAGAAATGAACAGACTAGGAATGTTGATAGATTTGTCCCATGTGTCACGTGATACTATGATTGACGCCTTAGAAGTCACAACTGCGCCTGTAATATACAGTCACAGTTCAGCTTTTGTCATCTGTAACCATTATAGAAATGTGCAGGATGATGTTCTTCAAAAAACGGTAATCAGAATATTAATTGTGTATGTCCTATTCTAGGAACCGTATTGTTCAATATAGTGGTAGAACATTGTACAACTTTGCTTAACAATACATTTTACAAGACCTTGACGTACTTACTCAATAATGTTTGTTGTACTGAAACATATTCCAATGACCCCCCCCCCCTTTTCCATTAAAAAAGATGAAAAATCGTTTAGTACATCTTTTATTTTTATATCATATCACAAATGTCACATCAAAATGTATACACTTACTTTTTCAGAAACAAAACGGAGGCGTGGTAATGGTAAATTTCTACGATAAATACATTAACTGTCCGCCTAACAACAAATCTGTGGCAACACTAAGTCAGGTTGCAGGTAATCATACAGTATACATTTAAAGAAATAATATGCTTCTGAGAAGTAAACCTTTATTATCAAACATGGAATTGTAATCATGTAAGTTCCTGACTTTGCATTTGACGTTTACGAAGAATTAGCTGTTGTATCATCGACATCATAAAAGTTCAAACAAAACGTATAGAATTTTTAGAAGATAATTGACAAAAAGCTTGCCTGAACAATCACAATGTAATGTTTCTGTCACCAAGCAATACATTTTATAGGTGTTTGTTTTAGACAAGTGATAGGATTGAGCATTTGCAGTTCAAGAAATACCAGTACGTTTCGATGAAAGATAACTTAGACGAACAAGATGATTGACGATTGCCTAATGATTTCTAAGGATAAATATTGGCAATAAACAAAAACATGGTTGTTATAACAGGCAACTGTGTCTGTATTATTCCAAACGTATTGTTTGTTAACATTATAAGGAGGGGGTGCAAAACAAAGTCTACATTTCTGAAGGAGCAAATTTTTATTAATTCGATTCTTTGTGTTGATGATATAACTTTTGAATTGCGATCATTTTGTTTTATTTCCAGATCACATAGATTATATAAAAAATTTGATCGGTGTGGATTATGTAGGAATTGGAGCTGATTATGATGGTGTTCCAACGTAAGTAATCTTAGTTTGTGTAGAGAATACTAAATGACAGTGTTCCAACGCAAGTGATCTTAGAGTGTGTACAGTATACTAGTAATAAATGACAGAGCTCCAACGTACGTACATTCCTAGTTTGTGTAGAGTATGTTAAATGATGGTGTTCCAACGAAGGTAATCTTAGGTTGTGTAAAGTACATGACGAATGACAGAGTTACAACGTAAGTATTCTTAGTTTGTGTAGAGTATGATGAACGATAGTTTTCCAACGTGAGTAATCTTAGATTATGTAGAGTTAATCAGAAATTTATTTTTTTTCAATTTCGCACAATATAACTGCCATGGCCTTTTCATGGCTTCCCATGGCCGAAAGGAAATAGGCCGTGATTGCTCTAAAGTCTGACAGACTTTTTTTTAAGAATTCCTGAACCGTGGTTCCACGGCCAAAGGAAATCATTAAAAAGGCCATCTAACGTGAGAGCAATCTTGGACTACATTAAGAATAACGAGTCGCACCAATATTTTCAAATCTTGTGACATTTTGCCTGAATTGACACTATAGGTGTGACCCTTTATTATCTTTTAAAGTAAAGATTGTATTGAACAATTCAATGAAGGCACAAATAAACTCATCATAGATACCAGAATTGAAATTGTGTACGCCAGATGCCCACTTCGTCTATAAAAGACTCATCAGTGACGATCGAATTAAAAAAGTTAAAAAGGCCAAAATAAAGTATGAAGTTGAAGAGCATTGAGGAACCAAAATTCCTAAACATTTTGTCAAATATAGCTAGGGTAATCTATTCCTGGGGTAGAAAATCCTTAATATTTCGAAAAATGTTTTGTACAGTTAATTTATAATTATGACCATATCAATAATAACGCATGTCAACACAGGAGTACTGACTACTGGGCTGGTGATACCCTCGGGGAGAAAAACTCTACCAGCAGTGACATCGACCCAGTGGTTGTAAATAAACTCATCATAACAGGATTGATATTTTGTATGCTAGACGCGCGTTTCGTCTACAAAAGACTCATCAGTGACGCTCGAATCAAACAAACGAGGGGTTGGTGTTGGAAGTGCTAATGTTTAATAGTATATGTATAATGCAATCAAAAATGAAAATCTGAAAGATTTGTTGATAGTGTAGTACTAAAAAGATTTAAGCTTGAAAACTTTACTTTCAAAATGCTTTTTCCAAACCGTTCAAACCATATTTTGAAATATGCAGAAAAGGAGAAAACTTACAAACACAAGGGATATGTCAATACTAGTACGTGAAAAAGAGTTTTTGTAACAATTACTGAGCTTATAAATGATGTTTCAATAGATAATGGAGTTGTCTATCTCTGGTTTTATATGTCTTTGTATATACCTATGGTATGCATATTATGAGGATGCTGATTTTAATCAAAGTAATTTTTTTTGTTAAATTTATCATATACTCTGCGTGTTGGTGTCGACTTATTCATCTTATTGTTTTCAAGATAACATTTTTTTTGTTTTTCAAGATAAAACTTTTTATAACCCCTAGGGTTAAGGGGGTATAGGAATATGGTCATTCCTTTAACTTCTCCCGCCTGGCATTTAAAGCCTTGCTAAATTGTGGCTTCCGTTTTGGTTGTGTGGGATGTATAGATACCACACAGCTTAGTTCGGAATGAGCACGTTCCGATGTTTCATATTAAGGTAGATTAACTGTATACCGTCATCTTGGATTGTAAAATAGCAGTACACAATTGGTCTAGTTCTTTGTTTAAATCTGCAAATATTTAGACAGATTGGCAATTAATGTCTAAGACTGTTCGTTTAAATAAAGAAAACATTGTAATTTATTCAGTGCATTCTTAAGACTGTTTTAACAAATACTAAATATTTGTTTTTGTTCGATTTAATTTTTCAACTAAGTCGTATAAGGGGAGATAACTCTTAAAAAGTAAAATCACAAAAATACTGAACTCCGAGGAAAATTCAGAAAGGAAAGTCCCCAATCAAATGGCAAAATCAAAAAAACAAACACATCAAACGAATGGATAACAACTGTCATATTCCTGACTTGGTACACACAGGCATTTTCTTACGTAGAAAATGGTGGACTGAACCTGGTTTTATAGCTAGCTAAACCTCTAACTTGTATGACAGTCGCATCAAATTCCATTATATTGACAACGATGCGTGAACAAAACAAACAGACACAATAGGTAAAAATGTCAAAAATAGGGGTGCAGCAGTCAACATTGTGTTATCATCTTAATCACTATCACTATAAAAACAAACAAATGTAACGAAGAAGCACAAAAAGGCATACATCAAATTTAAAATCCTCATTTTGCTTATATTATACGATTTTATTTATCTATTTAAAATCCACCCATAAAGGATGGAATGTTTTAAGTACTGGCGTAAAATCGCGCGTTTGAAATTCGCACAGGTAGACATAAAATAATTTTGTCGTTCAAAGTATGAGGGGATACATAAATACAGAGTCACGTAAAATGGATATAACAAAAAACAGACTTAACAGTAAACGTAATATTAATAAATAAAATAAAATAATTGTGTGGTACAAAGTATGACGATATACATAAGTACAGAGTCATGTCAAATGTATATCACAAAAAACAGACTCAACAGTAAAAGTAATATTAATAAATAAAATAATTTTGTCGTTCAAAGTATGACGGGATACATAAGCACAGAGTCACGTCAAATGGATATCTAAAAAAAACAGACTTAACAGTAAAAGTAATATTAATAAAGATAAATAAAAGAATACTATAACACGTTATTAAGATGATAAACAAAATTAACGTCAGTACGCAAAATCTATACTTCAAGACCATTGTGTATTATTTGTGAAGTTGATACGGGATATTTATCAACTAGTTATTGGTACCTTCCGATGAACTTTTTTTAGAAAAGGGACGAGACGTTCTTTGACATACCCCTGGTTCATCAACTTTCTGCTCAGACACTGGTCAACATTTTATACTGGAATAATAGTGAAATTTTCCATTTTTCACTTGTAGCAAGAAAACAAGTTCAGTGACATCATTTTTATCTTCTTTTTATTTTCTTAAAGTATATTAATAAACCTATCTTCTCATATTTTATTTCAAAATTCTATCTCATAGATTTCTTTTTATTCACAAAAAAGTGTTTTTTTCCATGAATAATCTATGCAAAATTGTGCGCCCATACTTTTGTTTATATTTTTCAAAAAAGCATGGCAAAATCTCCATTTAGGCAAAGTATAAAAAATTCTATCTGAGGAAATATATAGTGATGATCCACCTAAGAGTGGCTTGCTCTTTAGCCGCTCTTTTTATGTTTAAGATCCTTTGCAACAACTCTTTGAGATGTCCATAGGTGGCCTGTTGCAAGGCAAACATTCTGTCAATATCTAAGATGCCCTCATTTTTCCATGGCAATCGAAATTTTCGCCTTCATCCCGGTTGATCCACATAGCAAAATTTACCAATTTCAGTGACTGTTTATTTGTTCTCGTACTGAATATACATGAAATATTTGCCAATGGGCGTTAAGCAAACAACAATCAATCAATTTTAGAACTTTTAGTTAGGAGGGCGTTTGATATTATCATGAGCCCTTTTTTCGCTGTCAACTGGGACTAATACATACATATTTAGATATAAGATATTTTAGATATTAGGCCCAGCTGTCAATGGGCATAATACAATGCACTTTTATACAACTTTTTAGTATAAACAATTGAAAACAACACTTTATAAATATCATACGTCCGAAATGCTTTTCTGTATTTACCTTCATCAGGAATGCTCAAATCCGAATATTTGAACGCCAAGGATGTATAAAACCGAAATAGTTGAAGAGCTATATGAATGACCAAAAACGTGTATTGCGTGAACGTAATGTAACTGACTAACATAGCTAGGACTTTCAAAAACGTGAATTTTTTTATCCTCATTTTCGATAAAAAAAATTTACTGTGAAAAATAGTTCTGATCATGTATTTATTTGATGCTAAAGGTTTTCATGATAAGTAATTACCCGGTATATTAAATATTTGTATTCGTTTGTTTAAAGTCATAAAATGCTTTGCAAACTATCGTGTTTATTTTCTGATTAAAGAGTACCTGTAGGACTACAAGATGTTTCCACTTATCCAGATCTTTTTGCTGAACTTGTCAAACGAGGATGGTCTCAACCGGATCTCAGGAAGCTTGCAGGAGAAAACCTTATAAGAGTATTCACAAAAACTGAACAGGTATGTTTTTGTTCTTTGAAGTAATGCAACCAATCAGTAGCATCGGTGTTTGTGTACACTCTATACCGAATCATTTATAATTAGTTCTGATGTTACTTTTTTGTTTTTTTATGAACAGTCTCTACAGAATTATTCAGTTTTGTTCACATTTGTTCCATTAAAAAATAAAATAAAAATTGAGGCAATTTTTTCAAAGAATTGCATTACATTTATTTGCAGATTGATTTATTCATATATAACAACTCGCAATTATACTTTCTTGTTTTGTTGTCAGATTTAAATCTTATTTGTGATGTAAGTTTTGAAAAGATCAAATAACTTTTTTAATATTCTCATATTTGATTTATGACATACTAAAACGTATATCCATATATTTTTCTAGACGTCTTCTAATTAAGCATCGAGATGACCTCCGAAGACTGCCGACGGTCATATTTCTTGATATAAACATAAATATAAATAGATAGAAACCACGTGCAATTGGATTTTTCTAGGTCTGTTCGATTTCATATTGTAGGTTAAAAAGTATGCTAATCATAGTTTTTACCTGTATAACAATAATATTTTGTGGATCGAACCAGTCAACCAAATGGTTTATCCCTTGTTTCACTTCCAATGTTAACATTCTTTTCTTTTTAATAGCTGAATAAATGCGTAAACCATTTCCAGCTAAGGGATAAATTGAAGTTCGTGAATACGGATTTAATGAGGTCGAATTATTCACTTGCAAGTAATTCTTTACTTATTGGTTTTATATTTTGTTATGTTGTAGGTTCGTGACAATTTATCCTATATGCCGCCATACGAAGACTTATTACCAGCCGTAGAAGCTAGAAACACAAGTTGCTGGTCGTAATGATGTGTGTTGAATATTTTTTTATGCATTTGTGTGATTTTTATAGAACCATAATTGTAATTATACATTTTTAAATTTATATTTGTGATTGTATACATAATTGACAAAAACATACAAATATATGTGACTGGCCACGAGATCTTCAGGTTTATGGAGGTACATATACAAAAACGAATTTATTGCATATTAATCAAATATAGACTGAAGAAAACACCCTGTCAAGTAATTTGACAGATTCTTTTAAATAAAGGTCTAACAGGTCTGTCTGGGGCCTCGGTAGCCGAGTGGTCTAAGTAGTCGAACTACTGAACCACTAGACTTTCAACACTGAGGTTGTGAGTTCGAATCCCACACATGGCAGGTGCGCTCGACTCCAGTTTTTGGGGAAAGACGGCTTCCTCAACCAATAAAAACTGACCGCCACAAAATAGCATAATAGTGCTGAAAGTGGAATTAAACAGCAACCAATCAATCAATCTAACGGGTCTAATTGTATTTTATAATGAATGGAATTTAAATGCCGACTTTAATATTTTCGAACACATTTATTCATCAAATATTCTATCGGCATCTTGTAAATTTCCTAATAAAACATTCTTTACATAATTTCAAAAGAATATGGTAGTTGTCACCAACGGCCTACACATTGGTTTTCTGCGTCGTTATATTGCTGTCTCGTTGATGTGTACCTCACGTCTACTTTAATTTATATTCATGTTGGATTTGAAAAAAAAGTGCGATGTCTTCCGTACTTTACTGTCATTATCAATATAAAAAAAAGATGTTACCAAAGTGTCGATATGAAAATGATATTTCCCAAGTTGCGATAGGAAAACGGTATTTCCAAAGTCGCGAGTAATAAAAAAACAAAAATCTAGAACTTATCAATGAGCATTTCTAATTGCATTATTGTTTTGACTAATTGCAATGTTCTCTGTTTTCGTTATGTATAACCCAGGTAAACATGTATTTTTGAATTTGGACACCAAAAGCACATTATCTTACATGATCATTCCACTATCAAATTTAAAGTAACGTAGCTGAATTTAGGATAGTTTTGCATTTTAATTTTCTGTATTCCTGTGTCCTCATGTTAGCTTTTATATTCGTTCTTCTTTAATAACAAATAAGCATGACTTTGATTTGATTTTGAAATGATCCATCAAGCCTACTTTAGCATAAAAAGCATAATAAATGTCTATTAATCCACAAAATGACAAATTTCAACAAACATACAGGTCAGTTTAAAAGAAATGTCGAATTTTTGGAACACCTATGCTATTTAAATTTTTTTTAATGAAAAATGACTGGAGAAATTCAAATGAAAGTTTATAGATTTTATGAGTCTTTACATAAATAATTAAAACGACTTGCTTCTAATTTGAGGCTAGAGCTTCTTGAAAATTATACACGGCGTGTTTCTTGCATAACAAAGAGAAAGAAAATACAAGAAATTTAGTATAAAAAGAAGTGCATACTCTATGCTTTTACCAACAAAATTATCAATAAAAACAATAGTATACTTGTAAAATATGTAACTACGTTTTGAAAACCAAGACCACAGTAAACAAACATCACTTCCAAAAAAGGATTAGTTATTTCACAACGCAGCATTCATAAATATAGAAATGTGTCTATCTGGTTACTAAAAACATGTAACAAAAATACTGAACTACAAGGCAAATTCAAAAAGGGAAGTCCATAAAAATCTGACAAATTTAAACGCTATCAATCAACGGAACAAGTGAAAAACAACTGCTATTTTAATGTCTTGGTACAGGCATGGTGGGTTAAATCTGGTTTTATAGCTAGCTAAACCTCCCAATTGTATGACAGTTGTTTATAGTTCCGTTATATTGACAAACGTGGGTAAGCAACCCAAACAGACATAATAGGTTAATGTGACAATAATTGGGATCAAGCAGTCAAAGCTGTATAAGGATACATCACAGACATACAACACAACTGACTAAAAAATCAAACAAACATACAACTTAATCTAACAAAGACACCAACAAAAAAGGTGTAGTAAAATTAATTCTTCAAATAGTATTTAATTAATATTATTTAAACGTACAGGAATTATTTGAATTTGTTTAAAGGTTAAAACAGCTTTAACTTCGCAATTTATGCCACGGCATTGTCAGTTTGTTTTCAACTTATGAGTTTAAATATTCCTTTGGTATCTTTCGCCTCTCTTTTAGCACACACCAAATGTCAAACTGCTATCGGTAACAGGATAGACAATACAAGTAATAAGATAGAACTACGTTCATGTAACCAACAACAAAATGTCAAAAGTAAAAGGATTTTCTTTTTATCTAAGCAAGGGAAACTTGAAGATTCAATTCTGAGCATTTGTTTTTGAACAGATGGGCAAAGCAACATTCGTATGCACCCAATTTTTTTTCAAGCAGTGACAGGTAAAGCATAATGAAGATTGTTTCTGATGACAGGCATTAGCCAAGACTTCTCTTTCTGTTCAGTTTTCTCAAATATGCATGGTTCATTCAGAAAAATCTACTTTGGACAATCCTTAGTACCACTATCCCATCATGGACATTTTAAGTATAATCTGATTAATTTTCAACAGTGAATGTTTAGTGTGATTTAATAACTATACCATTTACTACAAAAGTTTACTCAATTACAAGATGAGTACACATTCATATTCAAGAATGCTGTAAATTGTTACTTGAATAATTTTCAAAAATTTTGCAAGTAACTTGACATTGAAATGTCAAAGTAAATTCAAACCCTTTGAACTCAAGAAATCAGTTAGCCAGGTGCAAATATACTGAACAGGATTACAACAAAGACAGATTAGAAAGCAGTCTCCTACATGTACGCATTCTAACGAAATTGTTAAAGTTTAAAAAGATATAGCAAAATGGAGTTTATAGATAGCTATCTGATGAAATGATGAAGTCCAATAAATTCGAAAGATTTCTAGACGCATATCCATGATTCTGAAAAGGGGTGGGGGCAAACTAGGCAACTTTTGGAGTAGATCATGTTAAAAGCCTTTGCATTAACCATATGTGTAGCTCCATGAGGGGTGGGCCCCCTGCCCCCTTAAATCTGCCTCTGGTTTCCCTTATTTTTTCAAATTTTGGCGGCTGTAAACGACTGGGAAACCTTTCCAACTTATCTGACTTCATCATTTCATGCATTGCATTTGGAGTTATACAGCGTGTGTCCGTCTTCAGTAATGGACTATGTGAAATTAAAACTACCAAGGAATGAAAATAAAAAAAAATCTTAATAGCTGAGTGATTGACTTTCGATCTTTCCTGTCTTGTGAAAAATAAGAATAGAGGGGCATCATATGTAAAATACTGTTATTGTTTTATTGTAATGATAAGAGAAAGAACACAACAAAAAAGTGAAGACGTGTTAAAATATTTAGAGAAAGGGGGATCCATTCCCGAAGCGCCTGTGAACGATTGATAACAAGGTCATTTTAGGGGAAATAACTCCTATAAAGTCGACCAATGATTTTGGCATTATTGACTTTTTTGTAGATCTTGTCTTGCTGATCAATTTTGTTATTTAAAGTTTCTATCAATCTGTTCTGGTTTTCAAGATAATCGACAAAAACGCAAAAACTTTGTAAAAATCGCCTAAAACGGCAATAACTCCAATCAGGACTTGTCAGACGATTTCAGCCATTATTGACTTATTTGTAGATCATGTCATGTTGATCATTTTTGTTATTTAAAGGTTTCTCTCTGTCTAATATATTTTTCAATATAGAGGTGAAAATCGTCCTATAAAAAGTTGTCTGACAGTTTTGATGTGACTGGACAGCATTCTGATCATTTCTGTCCCCGTCAGATTTTCTCTTATCTACGAGAGTTTTGTGAGCATTTTCCCCTATGTTGTTCTAATTTAACCAATGTCAGTCATGTATGGTTGGAATGCAGGACTATCGCACACAATTTTTAAACTATATAAACCAATGAGGATTGTCCAACTTTGGTTCCAATTGACCCTATAGTTTTAAAGGAAAACATTTTTTAAAAGTTAACAGAGGACTGAAGACGGAAGCCAAGTGATGATGGTTCTGATTGTCTCACTAGACCCTTCAATCCAAGATCCACAAAAAAGAGATTTTAGTAATGAACTATATTCAATCTCATTAAAACCAGCAGTTAGTTTTCGATACGAAAATCATACAATACTCTTCACCATAAGAGGGAGCGTAGCATATCACAACATCTGATTTTAATTATATCGGAGTTATAATCTAGTCTAATGTTGCCATTGTTGAAGATGCACATGGATCCAGGTGGGCGACTCAGGCTCTTTGGGTCCCCTAGTTAAGTTCATTTCTGATCCTACCACCTGTTTTATTTTAATAGAAAAACAAAGGATATGGGGAATCCATCCATGACATTAAATCAGTACATGCACAGCAAAAAACACACAACTTGAACGCAAAGGAACAGCGCTTTTATTGCGGTTCTTCATCTCAAAGTCACAGTTAGGCATTCAACACAGAGCAAAAAACTTTCACCTCACTGCAAGTTTAAGACGGCTCTGTTTGAGCGGAATTCTTTGCAAAATGATTTGGATAGACTTTGTATTAAGATGTAACACTACCAAATCGGGCAAGGTAGAAAAAGAACATATTGGAAAGTAGTACATATTTAAAACAAAATGGTTCCTACGCATAGGTGCAAATATCAAACTAAGTAAAATATAAATTTGTAATTAAGTATCAAATGAAAGGTGAAGGACAGGTGATCCTTGTAGAACACATATTGACTAATACAATCAAAGCACTGTAAGCGCTGTAGGCAGTTAACCAAAAACCAAGGCAAACGTAATTATGAAAACTGTTGCAGTGTTGCTTCAATTTTTTTTTAAGATTTGAAAGAACAAACATTAAACATTCGTATATTGTACATTTATGTTCATTAAATGAATTGATTATTAAGGCAAATTAATTAATATTTCATCAAGGTTTTCAAAAGCAACTCATATATCAATTTAAATGACCCCCATCTTCACCCCCAAGTGCATGATGTTACTCCATACCAAGTTTGGAATAAAATGACAGGTGATTATAAAACA